GGCCAGTGTAGCAACAGCCTCTACAACAGTATGCTTCAATATACGCGGAAGAAATAGCAAGATCCTTCAATGCAACACAATATGCACCAACCAAATTACATATGGTTGAGAGACTTTTGAAGCGGTAGAAAGCTTTACATCCCTGGGCATCATCGCTGATAATCAGAGTAGACCCAGTGAAGATGTAAAGATAAGGATTGGCGAGGCAATGGCAGTAATTTCTACAATTGGAAGAACATCTGGAAACTCGAATACAACTCCCAACCAAATGTCAACGCAATTCTGTTGTATGGTATAAAGACTTGTCGAACTACAAAGGCCTTTTATTCCCAAGATGCAGCGGTGTTTATTGATAGTTCTCTTCGTAAAATACTTCCGATCTGTTGGCCAAGACACCATAAGCAACTACTCTACTTTTTGAGGTAGAACAAATTAGATAAAAAGCGCTGAAGGTAAACAGGGACACGCTTTATAGAAACTACCTAATGGGATATCACAAGACAAGGCCTTGATTTGAAATTTTACAAGGCTGATAGAAAAAAAATGGTAGATCAAAGAGACACCTTACAAACATGAAAAGAATAGCTAGCCATTTTGTTAGAACTGGAAAGGTAGGCTATGTACGGAGTTACTTGGAGAATTCTGAACGGCGGCCGATGCTCCCTTACAGTTTGCAAGCCTAAGTAAATAGGTAAGTAAGTAATTCAGAACATGTTGTAATATTGTAGTGAAGGAGAACACAGGTGGGGCAACCGAATTGTATTTAACGAAAATTACAGAGTTACTCGGTATAAAATCGGAAAACCATATCGTAAACGGTTAATTTGCAAAAAATCAATTCATCATATCGATCTGCACTGTTCCTGTTGCAAAACATCAATCCATTGTCACTCACTATTCATGCGTTCTAACTAACTCTTCCTTTCTTGATCTTCCCCCCCATCTTCTGCTGCCAGACATAACGTTGACACTCACGTTATATACTTACTACTTATAAGTAGTGCGCACCACTATATAACTCAACCATTTAAAATATTTAGTTCATAGTTCAATCGTTCACATTCATTGAAACATTGATCACATTTATTTTTATCGTTATCGTTATTGTACATATTGTTTTAAATTTGTCTTTTTCCAGACTTTATAAGCAAAGATTTCAACAATTGCCTGGTTTAATTTCAACCAATCATAAATCTACCATCATCACTAATCAATTTTCAATCGATTCTTCATCATCTAGAAATTTACTGACAATTGAAATTATAAAAATCACAAATTTATTATTATTACTAATGAATAATAATCATTTGAATAAATTACTACCATCTAGTTATTTTGTTTATCAATTTTATGATCAATTAGAGTATGCTTCAAAAATTATCAGTGATAATCAATCACCTGTATTTAATGATCATTGTGTGATACCAGTTGAGATGAATGAGAAACTTGATCAGTGAGTTTATTTTTGTTGTTTGAGTGGGTGTGTGTATGTGAGGGAGTTTTGTTTAGAAAATTGTTACTGAACCATTTACATAGGGAGGGCAAATCAATAGATGAAGTGGTGAAACTTCATCAGTTGAGATGGTTGGGACATGTGTTACGTATGCCTAAGCGCCGACTGGCACGTTGAGCTATGTTTTGTAGTGTAGGAATAGGTTGAAAAAAAGTTAGGGTCGGCCAAACCAAAACATGGCACAAATCAATGAAGTCAGAGACAAGTGAACTGAGACATGTTGGTAGATGTAGACTACGTGGTTGGGGTCCTGCGAGACGAAAGTCACCAATGGTTAGAGACCTTGAACGACATGGCTCAAAATCGTTTGCAATGCCGCAGGTCAGTTAATCAGATGCAACGTAGAACTTCGTACATGTACGTACATCAGTTCATGTTGCCTATGCCACATCAGCATAGAGATATAACTTGTCAATTCAAATCCAATAGTAGTAGAGGTATTAAACGTATTAGAAGCATTCGGAGAGGTTAGGCTTTCTTCCAACCTACTCATACACTACAAAACAAAGCTTGACGAGGCAGTCGGTGGTTAGGCATATGTAACATATGTCCCAACCACCTCAACTGTTTCACTACTTCATCTATTGATCTGCCATTCTTACCTAGCACCCGATTCCTAATAACAGCGTTGCTCACTCCGGTGTCCCACAATACGAGCAATGCTTCGAAGACACCTATGATCGAAAACCAGTAACCTACCAGTATCTTCTACTCCCACTGGCCGCAGGTGCATCCAGTCTTTGTGTTCTCTGAAATTACAACGTTACGGATTCCTTATCATCTTCATCTTTCTCTTTCTAAAGTTATCTCACTGAATTATACTTCTCGATTCGTATCTTCAAACCCTAAAATTTCCGATTACTGCTAACACTTCTACCACCTCTCTACTTTGGGATTTGAAGTGATAATTGCATCTCTGTGCTAATGTGGTATGTCAACGTATGTACGATGACCGTTTCATCCTGGTTTTTGGGACCCATCAGCAGTACACATCCACGACTATCGTTACTCACCGAGATCGAACTCCGGACTATTTGATCTTGCGCACGTCAACATTTAACCTTTAAACACCGTGAGCCAACATCTGACAGTATGATTAGTTTGAGTTTGTTAAATTCATGTTACAGATCAGTATACTTATATACGTTGCAGTTTGTAGATTCAATCTATATTAAAATGGCTATGAATGTACGTACATTGTTAAGCAATCTCATAATATGTGGTAAAAACAGCTATTCCGTTCATTCGACGCCTATTTCAAATAATTATCACGGTGAAAATCTTCTTCATATGAAAAAGTACATATATTTGTCACTATAATCTTGAATTTTCGTTCAGCAGCTTGATAAAATTGTTGTGTGTTGTGTTTCGTTCTCTGAGCTGGATGTTTTTTTTCGATTGTGGAGCTTTCATTGTTCTTCTGCTGAAAAATATCATCATCATCATCAGCAGCACAAACATCAGATAAAAGAAGTGAAGTATTCGAATTTCTCCACGTGTATGACCTGTAACTTGTTCTGTGAACCTCGATCTTGATTGGTTGCTGGTTGACCTTAAATGTGTCCTTGATTTCAGCTTTGATTTTAATTGCTAAAAACATTCTGAAATGAATTTTGAAAGGAAATTAATTAAACCAAACTCTTTCTGCTTTCTAATTTATAATAAATTGAATGAGAATCTAACTAGCTCAGACAGTTATATCACAAACATTACACTTACCGACTTACTTACTTAATCCTGCTACGTATAATCGGTTAACAAGTTGCTTTTCTACGGGATGAGGCCTCTAACTCCACGTTCAACCCTCCTTAACCAACATAACCATACAACAGCCTTAGCAAGTTTTTGATGGAGTTTTGTTTACTGAGCTGAATGTTTTGGTTGTGATGCTTTCATTGTTCTCCGGAACAACAACATCAGCACAAAATGCTGGTAGAAGTGGACTATTCAAATTTCTCCACGTATAACTTGTAGCTTCTCCTCTTGACCTCCATCTCGACTGGTTATTAAGGATCTGTAACCTGTCATCGTCCTTGCTCTTAATCTGATGACTATCTTTCAGAAGAACAGCTGTCTGTGCGACTTCATCTAAAAACATCAACCTTAACTATCAGTAGGAGCGAATTGGCGTACAGGAACCAACAAACGGATCATCTTAACACATATAAAAGACATACTAGAGATCGCTACCAGATTATTGCAGTCATTTGAAACAGTTGTAGCACATTAACTAACAGAATCAATTCAGTCAATTCTATGCAAACTCGAGGACAAAAGAAGAACAACCGAACATCATCTACAAACTAAACTGTTCAAATTGCGATACACACTACATCGGGCAAAGTGAACCTCCTCTTCAGCTTTGTCTTCGTGAACATTAATTAGCAGTCAAACGCCCTGACATTTTTTCTCTTATATCAATACATGTAAACAACTTTGGACACATTTTCGACTGAACTGAAATACTGGACAGAGGGAATATGAAGTGGGCGAAAGAATTTTGAGAAGCTTGGCACTCAGGTCAATGAGTAATCAACAACGAACACATAGACATACATTTATCCAATTTATCAAATAATCAGAAAAATCATATACAAGCATACGATTAAGACACAGACAATGACAGGTTACAAATCTATAACAACCAATTGAGATCGAGGTCAACAGGACAAGCTATGAGTCATATGAGAGGGAATTCAAATCCTTCACTTCCACCTGAAGTTTGTGCTGATGATGTTGTTCGACTGAAAACATTAAAAGCTCCACAACTAAAACTTTCAACTCAGAGAACGTAACTCCACCATAATCATCCTCCTGAACTTACTTTACTTTACTTTACTTACGCTTGTTACCCCTTGTGGAACATAGGTTGCCGACCTCCATCATCTTAGAAAATTCATAAATGATGATTTGGAGCTTGTATTAACGAATCATATTATTTTTGAATATGAATGGAATCAAGATGCAACTTACGGTCCAACTAAATAAGTAATCAAAGTAACCAACCGATTGAATCGTCTTAATTGGACAATTTCTACAGTTACATTTTATTGGTTAATAAAAGTTAGCTATTTTCTTATTGGTTAATAGAATTAACATCAATTCAGTCATAATATTACTATTGGTTATTGTTTTTTTTTATTGTGATTGGTTGATAAATGTCTACCACCGATTTGCATCACCTCAGAAATGCACTTTACTTGATAATCGATACTCCAATTAACCACAAACAATTTCTCAACATTATTCAACCCATTAAGAACGTTTATTCTCTAATAAAATTTGACAAGGCATCCATAAAAATATGGATTATCACACTAACTTGGTGACAGATCATTTTGACACTGTGATAAATCCATACTGTGTGTAAATTCATTCAAGTTTATAACTAAGTTAAGATGAAAAATAAATTTTTATTTATTCAAATCTACATTTTTTAAAAAAATTTATTTTATTTTCCCTTCAAAATTATATTCTTCTTTTACAGTTATTTAAGAACAGAAAATTTAAAAATTTACATTGTCGATAGTGCAGATCCTTCACCGGAAACAAGTTGCCTTGGCATAGCTTTAATCCCGTTGATTGGTTTAGTGAATCAGAATCAACAAATTGACGGTGTATTTGAAATTATTCCTTTGTCTACATACATGAAACAACAAGAACAATTACCATCAAATCAGTTAGGGAAATGGAATCAAATCAACGAAAATTCACACAATTGTGGTTTATTATACGTAAAAATGTATTGGAAACAACCTTACATTGTTACTCATGTTAACAACAATTCTAAGCCATTAGTATATAATCAAACAAGCATGGAAGAATCAAATGATTTAGAAATGGAACCAGTGAAACAAGTTGCAGAGGTAATGAATTCATAATATGGGGTTGTTGTGAAGATTGTTAAGTTACACATTTTTTTTGAAACCATGAATCGATCAATGTTAGTTAGACCACCATTAGAAACCTGGAAGCACTGGAAGACGACCGTTTCGTTCTGGTATTGGACTCCTCAGCGCAGTGCGCATCCACGACTCCTGCACTACGCAGGATTCGAACCAAGGACGGTTGGTATTGTAGGCGAACGCCTAACCATCGGACCACTGAGCCGGTATCTAACGGTGTTCATGTCTAACTTGATCAATTCACGCAGTTGCGCAACCTCATACACAGTCTTCGGTAGTAGTTACTGTCTACACCCCGACAGGTTGAACATCACTGGGCACGTCTTCCCACTAGAACTCGGAGAAGATTCCTCACGAAGCTAGTTACTAGTGAGCACAGGTAATTTGCATGATGGGGTTGTGAAGACTGTTAAGTTACACACTTTTGAAACTATGAATCGATCAATTTTAGAAACCTGGAAGCTCTGAAAGACGGCCGTTTCGTCCTGGTATGGGACTCCTCAGCAGTAATGAATTCAACTAAAAATTGTTTTTACAGTTCATTCTGAATTAGATCTTATTCATATGAGATGATGATGATGATGATGGTGAACTTGTAATTTTAGAAGAATTTCAAAAAAACGTCACTTTTATGTAACTTAGGAGTTAGTAGATTAACCTTGAATGTTATTAATGAAAGTTTGATAATCTTAATCTAGATAGTGAGAGACTACTGTCTATAACTTGTTCGATCAGTGATCGATTGGTTTCATTCGTACAGTCCATTTGGTTAACCAATTAGGATTTAAATATTGTAGTTAGTGAAAGTAAAATGTGATTGGTTATAGAATGTGGACAATGATACGCTTGCAGCTGTTACAGGTTCACATCACTCGGTAAACGGAATGAAGAGTAATGGCACAGTGACAACGGTAGGCTATTCTAAAACGTTTGGCACAGGTCTCTTTAACTCGAAGAAGAAGTCTTGATAAGAGGTAGAGAAATGTATTCCACAGGCAACCAGACAGTAAGAGGTCCACAAGCACTTAACTCAAGCTTATTTATGCAACTGATAAAACGCCCTTGGTGAGAGCCACAAGATAGCTTACTCAAACAATACATCAACCAATCAAAGCCAAGGATATCCCTAGTGTGAAATGCAAGCCGTAGGTCAACAGGAGCGCTTTCAGTGCGAAAACATATGATTCAAAATCCCACAATAAAATTAAAAAATTAGGACCTTTTTCAAGTGAGTTCTGAGAATCCAACGTCCCCAACAGACAAACAAGTAGTCAACCCACTGATTATCCAATATTAGTGATTATCTTTGACTGTAGAATTTATAGGTCACTGTTTTTGAACTGAAGAAAAGAGGTCATCCATTAGGATAATGGAACACAATTTCGGTAAAACGTTCAGCTAATGGTAGGATGGTGTTTTGGTCGTCAATTGATATGCTCGAAACTATTACGAATTCATCTTACTCGGTAAACGAGAGCGAAGACAAATGATCCAATGACACGATAGGCTACTCTTATCCGAGCGTCTCATGGCCCCACTAATTAGAGGAAGAAGTCTTGACAAGACCTAGAATGTGTAATCTACAAGCACCGAGAAAATATGAGGTTGACATGCACACAAATTGAGTTTATTTATATATGATAGGGACGTCCTTGAGAGAGCCACAGTAAAAGCGTACTACAATATTGCATCAACCATTAACACTCAAGGATCCTCTGGTTGAGAAATGTTACCTCAAGGTCAACTGATCAGCATATGCGCGAAAACTCAAAATCCAAATTTAGAACTTTAATCAAATGAGTTCTAGGGATCTAATGTACCCAATAGATGGTATTTTTTTTCCACAGGAAGCAGCTGAACAGATAAAACACTCACTTGAAATTTCGCAAGACGAAAAACAGACAATAATGTCAGTTGACAGCTCATCTAGTCTTAATAATGAAAAAAAATGTTTAGCTTAAATCGTGAACTAGGCCGAGAATCACTGGATGACCGTTTCATCATGGTCAAAAGATAAGTAGACAGACTATATTAAGAGAGTTATTTGATATACTCACCTCTTGTCTACATAACCAAATCAGCTACTTCAGTAATATAACTTAATGTGAACACGAAGCTTTAATTCATTGGTTTGATCAAATAGAAAATATATATATATGAGTCATTCATAGTTCCATGGAAAAATCAAGCCAAATTTTCAAAGAAACAGTGTGTATCTCGGTCTCCTGAGAAAGTTAAGCAAGCTTTTGACCAATAGCATTCGGTTATTGGTTACCCTCACTGATTGGTTTGGTCAATATTATTTGATTGATTCAGCCTACAGCATTGCATTTTATTCATCTGTTCTTATTAAAAACGTTTTCATTTCTTACAGAAACCTTATGTTGCTCAACAAGAATCTCCTAAGAAAATTCACCAACAATCAACATTATCATCAACTTCTCATGTTTCATTTGCAAAGCCTGTTGATAAATTGTATCCAAGTGATAAGTTGTCTCACGATACAGTTAATCTAGATCAGATCGTTGAAAATAGTCCGGAAAAAATTGTCCATACAACGGATAATCAGGTGAGGAGTACCATGTGTTTTCACTACACAACTTTTTAGATTTATTCAGCTGATATTTTGAGATCTGTATAATTTTTCTGTTAAATTAGCCACAGATTAGTTGATGCCGATGTTCCGCCCTGGTGTGATACTCCAACAGTTCGCATCTAGACCCCTCCTCTCGGAAATGATTGCCAACCTATATTGAAGACTGACTGAGTTCCCCACTATATCACACAAAGTCGATTTAATGGTTTTAGTCGTTAAGTGTTCACAACAATATCTAAAGGGTGACAAGCTCAGTCATTGGTGGGGTCACGAGTTGAGGAACCATATAGAATGTAGAAACAGCTATTCAGTGCTCCCTCATCCCCCAACGGAGATCAGGATGAGTATGTTGATCAAAGTTATTAACTGAGTTACTTTTTTCATTATTAATTATAAGTTATGTTATTATGATGTGCAGTGTTCAATATCTGATCGCAATTCGTGTTTAACCCTTTGAAACTGGCTACTTGAGAGAGAAGGAAAGAGCAGAAGATGTGTATTTGACTACTACCTAAGACATACGAATGAATACTCGTGCATTTGTCAACGGCAGATCAAATCAAGTTATATTTAGTTGTCATCATTCAACCTTGTGCATAACCCTGATATGATGATCAGTTGAATTAAACTGATAGAAAACTGGTTAATGGGGAAAAAAAATCTGTTGTTTAACTTAAATAATTACACCTGCTGAAGAACCTGATAAATTCAGCCAATCAGAAGTGATCTGATCAGAGGTCGTCTTAATGACCTTCAGAATATGTCCTAAAGCTAAATGCATATCATTGGTTAAGAAATGGCTTTCTTTTTTTAAGGAAATGAGTATTTATATTATTCGGGTAGCCAAGTAGACTTTCTCTACTGCTCTTTGTCTTCTCGTTCAAGCAGCCAGCCGATAAATCACATTCATATCTAGGCACCGCATAACATAGTCAGTCAGTTGCAACGTAGAACTTCGTACGTATGTACATAAGTTCAGGTTGCCATACCATATTGCCACACAGAGACGCAAATGTCAAATCAAATCCCATAGTGTTAAAGATAGTAGAGGTATTAATGGTAATGTAGAAGAATAGGGTTTGAAGATATTATTCAAGAATAACAATTCAGTGAGATAAGGTTAGAAAGACAAAGGTAGAGGTGTTGACGAATCCAGAAGAACACAAAGAATAAATGCACCGGCGCCATTGCAAAACGGTTTTGAGTCATGTCATACAGGGTCTCCAACCATCGATTATTATCATCTCGCGGACCCCAACCAGGTAGTCTACATCTACCAACATGACTCAGTCCACTTGTCAATGACTTCATGGATTTCTGCGATGTTTTGGTTTGGCCGCCCCTAACTTTGTTCCAACCTACTCATACACACTACAAAACATAGCTCGTCGAGGCAGTCGGTGGTTAGGCATTCGTAACACTTGTCCCAACCACCTCAACTGATGCATCGTCATATACTATTACGAAATAACCGTCTCGTGCTTCCCAGTTTCTAATGGTAGTTTAACAACGATCGATTCATAATTTCAATGGTATTCATGTTATTGTTGACTAATTATTGTCGGAAAATTATCCAATTTCCGTCTAGAACAGTAAAAAAATCTTTCGTCTCATTGATTGAAATGTTACTACTCTAAATCATTATTTAGATCCCAGTTCAATCCAACAATAATAATAGTTCAATGATCAATAAAAACGCTGATGAAAATTTATCATCATCATCGCTAAAACAAACTGAACGCGGGAATCCCAAAGAAAAATCGATTGGTAAGAATAAAAACAGTGAAATTTATTTGTATAATATAAAAGTACTACTTGTTTCATCGACTACAAGTGTACTACTGTGATTTTGTAAATCAGGAACCGAGGGATATATATATATGTATGTGGAGAAGAAAGTTCATTTCAGAAATATGTACAGGTAGTCTTCAATACAAGCAGGTTATTAACAGTCTTTCGCTCACTTCAGTTCTGGTTCTCATAATGTTACGCCTGCACGTAAGCACATCAACTTGATATGCTTGAACTATTACGAGTTTACCTTAGTCGAAAAACGAGAGCGAGGACCGAGGATCCGGTGACACGACATGCTACTCAATCCGATTATCCCAACAACCCATTGAGTAGAAAAAGACTTGATATGAAGTATGTATTCTACAAGCATCCAGAAAGTACGAGGTTCGAGTCCAGAAGAGAATCAGGATCCCGGACTAGGGATCCCGGTTCGGGTCATAAGACGTTAGAGATAATGCGTATTTATACATTTTGGTCGAATAGGAAACAGCATCGAAGTCTGTGACATCGACAGTTAAGACGACCAATAGGAAGTAACATTTGAAGTGACATTGATAGTCAGGACAACCAATAAGAAATAACATTGGAGCACGTGACATTGATGTCTAGGGCGACCATAAAATTGACCAGTAGGAATCGACCAATAATTCGCTTAGTATATTGGATGAATATCCTAACACGTAATACTCTAATCAGTAAATCAGCTACAATGTAGAACTTCGTACGTGTACGTACATCACTTCAGGTCGACATACCGTATTAGCACAGAGACGCACGCAACTGTCAGTTCAAATCCCAATGTGGTATAGACAGTAGAAGTAATGGAGAAGACTAGGTTTCAAAGATATTCAAGAAGTATCATTCAGTGAGATAACTTTAAAATGAGAAAGACAGAGGCGATGATCACACCATACATTTCGATCTCCTGTCACTTTTCTATCTAAGTGACAATTTTTCAGGTGCCATTTTGCTGCATACTGCTTATAGGCAATTTTACGAGTAACATTCACTACACTATTAGTTGAGTTTGAATTTATAACGAATACTCATTCTGATTGATGACTTTAAATGGTATTTTTCAGGGTTGTTTAGCTTCCCCATCATTTAGTCGACTTCATCACAGAGATACTTCACATGAATGTTTCTCCTATCAGAAGATTCCTTAACTGATTTACAATATACAAATGACAAAGTTCGGTTTCGTGAAGAGATATAATAAAGAGTTTTCTGAACGTTGAATTGTTTGAAAAGCATTTCTTCTCTTCTAAATGTGCTTCAAAACTTACCTGTGTCACGGCTTCTCTACTGCTTTGTAACTATGACATGTGAATTTTTAAGAGTAGAGAACATTCATAAACTACTTACGTACTTAAGCCTGTTACTTCTAATAAAGTATAGGCCGCCGATCAGCATTCTTCAACCTATTTTGCCCTTGGACTTCCTTTCAAATTCCGTTCAACTTCTGTTCATTTTTCTCACGTCTGTCTCCATTTCATTCAAATCATAGATCAATGAATAATAACAGGCCATTTTCAGAAATGTGAAAGTATTGGAAGACCGTTCCAATGAAATTTCACAGTCTGCATAATCCTTTTAATGAAAATTATCATGCGCTCATTAGTGACCAGCAGCTTCGTGAGTAGTCTCTTAGACTTTCTGATGAGAAGCCATGACAAGTAGAGTTCAACGGTGTCCGTGATGTAGAAGTTTGTTATTCACTAGCGAGACCGAAGGTCCTGGGTTGGATTCCCGCTTGAAAGGTCGTAGATATGTGGTTTGCAAGGTATCAGTAGTTTCGTGAAGTTTGATATACAACGTATTCTTAACTTTCGTAATTCGCACGTCTAGGCAATCGTCACTAAGTAGCGCCTGACGGTTATAAATCAGAAGGCAAACACGAGTTGTTGAATATGTTTATTCTTGCATACCACAAATACAACAGCAGACCACAGACATGAAATTGATATGCGAGTGCCGGAAGGCAAGCAAGCAAGCGAATTTATAGTCAGACAAAAATAAGACAGACATGTAACAAGCTAGATAGGCATGGATACATTGAATAAAAGCGACGAATGATTGACAAGGTCAAATGACAAGTGGAAAGAGTCGTCTGAGCTAGACATTGTCAATCAGTCAGTCAGTCAGATGCAAAGTAGAACTTCGTACGTAAGTACATCAGTTCATGTCGCCGTACCACATCAGCACAGAGATGTAATTGTCAATTCAAATCCAATAGCAGTAGAGGTATTAAAGGTATTAGAAGTAATCGGAGAGGTTAGGATGAGAAGATACTATTCAAGAAGTATGATTCAGTGAGAAAAGTTTAGAAAGACGAAACTAGAGGGGTTGACGAATCCAGAAGATTAGGATTTCAGAGAACACAGAGATTGAATGCACCGGTGCCATTGCAAACGGTTTTGAGCCATGTCATTCAGGGTCTCTAACCATCCATTATTATCATCTCGTGGACCCCAACTAGGTAGTCGACAAGTACCGATATGACTCAGTCCACTTGTCAATGACTTCATGGATTTCTGCGATGTTTTGGTTTGGCCGCCCCTAAGTTTCTTCCAATCTACTCCTACATTACAAAACAAAGCTCTTCGAGGCAGTCGGTGGTTAGTCATACGCAGCACATGTCCCAACTACCTCAACTGATGAAGTTTCATTACTTCATCTATTGATCTGAGCTAGACAGTGAATGACTGACTACAGATATTCATCGTTACTTAGTCCTGTATTAGTACGAAACCTTTGTCCAGCGCTTCTAGTTAGCTGATGAAAGTCTAACACTGATCGACTCATGATCTGAATGATAATTATATGTATTTATAATGGGTACTTATAAGTAGTACAGTTTGAATAACACAAATTCTACACATTCAACGTACTTTCTCATATTGATAAATACAAATCTTATTTGTTATGGTTAATTTTTATGCTTTAAATCATCAGTTCCAACTCCACATCCTCGAACAAAAACAAGTGAATTGAATGAAACAAAATTACATTTAACATTGAACAATTCCAATTTAAAAGATGAGATCAATTTGAATGCATTAGAAAATACTTCACAGAATACTACAACTACTACTACTACTACTACTACTAGTACACCGATCAATAAAAACATTGTCAAAAACACTGACTCATCATTTTCAACTACTACACCTTCATCACTATCTATCAATGATGAAAATCATGTGAAAATTGAACTACATGGTTTACAATTAACAGATTTAACGTCACTGTCAAAAAATCACACTACACTACCATGTCAAATATTTGTGGAATATTCATTTCTTGGTTGCAAAGAACCATTTGAAACTGGTTCTTATCCACTAGTTGAATGGAAAGATAATAATGATAAGAATATTTTGAAAGCAAATTTCTATTACAGTAAACGTAAGTTTTGAGTTGTACAACTTTCATTGTGTCACCTATACCCATGATAAAATACACATGAATAGGTGTATTGGTTGTATTTATTTTCAGAGTTGATCTTGTAGAATTTAGCTTTGTAGATAGATGAAAAGTTCTATTGATTTTTTTCCAGTCATTTTGATGGTTCTGGGCATACATACATATACACTTTGTTATCGATAACATTTCAGTGTGTATCAGTCAGTTAGCTACAACGCAGAACTTCATACGTACATAAGTTCAAGTTGCCATACCACATTAACACACAGTTAGATTCAATTATCAATTCAAATCTCATAGTGTTAGTAAAGGCAGTAGGATTATGAGCGGTAATCGGAGAGATTAGGGCAGAAAATTAGAAATTGAGAGAATATAACGAGTGGATAACATTTCAGTATGAATGATAGAATAAGATTTTCGTTCAATGAGATTTGTGGTGTTTTTACCTTTGTAGTTCATTTAGTAAGGTGAAAAAAACACGATTTTCATCAAAAAATATTTCCATTTTATTTTGGAAATTCGAGATACATTTTGATATGCTCGTCAGTTGATATGCTTGAAACTATGACGAGTTCACTTTTTGCTCGGTAAACGGAACGAAGTTCAACGATTCAGTGACATGATAGGCTATTCCAATCCGTTGTCCCAGGACCCGCTAACTAAAACAAGAAGTCTTGATAAGGAGTAGAGAATGTATTCTACAAGGACCCAGAAAATTCGAGGTTGCTAAGCATACAAATCAAGTTTATTTATACAATGATAGCAACGCCCTTGAGAGAGCTACAAAATAACATATTGAAACAATCCACCAACTAATGACAGTCAGGGATTTTCTGAAAGGGGAAATGTAAGCTGCACATCAACTAAGCGACTTATGCGCGAAAACATAAAAAATTCAAAATCAGGACATTTCCCAGGTGAGTTCTGGGGGATCTAACGTTATCAACACATTGAAATGGTGTTTAGTATAATTTCAAAATCATCATTTTACTATGATCAGTGTTAAGATATAAAATATCTTCGAATCAAATAAATACTTTATATCTGTCTGACGAATATACTAAACATTTGAGTAGAAACAAGGGATAGCATGGATAGCTTGAATGCAGTTGGACAATCTGGATGTCGCAGACGATCTAGATTTAGACGGCCAGTATAGTGTAATAAGCCTCAACATACACTAAAGGAAGATACAAACTGTTATGAATCGTCAATTGATCTGCTTTAAACTATTACGAGTTCACCTTAGTCGGTAAACGAGAGTGATGACAAGTGATCCATTGACACGACAGGCTACTCGAATCCGAACGTCCCGTTCCCCCATTAAAGGTATCAAAAAATCTTGATATGGCGTTGAAAGTATATTCTACAAGCACTCAGAAAATATGAGATTTTGTACAGAAGAGGAAGAGCATAAAACTTTACAGACGATGCTTATTTATACAGTTAGGTCGACCGTGAATACTAACCAATAGGAAGGAACATTTAAATGCGTGTGACCTTGATAGTTTAGGCCGACCTTAAATATTGATCAATAGAATTAGACTTAAAAATAACTTCTCTAGGATATTTGATAAATATCCTAACACAAACACATTTACCAATCAAATCACATTTGACGAAGAATCTGTGGAAGATTAAATCGTTGCATATCTGGACAGCATCATTGATAACCAAGGTGTTACTTGTGCCAATGTAAAGTAACACAGATTGGCAAAGCAAAGGTATCATTTCTACAAATAAAGAATATCTAAAAAATCAGAACAACTGACCACCAACACCAAAGTCACGGTTTTTAATGCGAGCATCAACACAGTTCTATTTTATGTGGTGGAAGCTTGGAGAAATACAGAAGTCATCATCCACAAGATACAGATTTTTATCAACAGTTATTTACCCAATATACCGCGGATCTATTGGCCACACAGTGTCAGCAACAACCTACTGTGCCTCTCAGGATAAACCAGATTCCAGCAGATGAAGCAATGCGGCAAAGCATTAAATGTTATATCCCCAGAACTCGCTTGATAAATGCCTTAATTTTGGATTTCGCGTTTGCGGGCATGGGCTGGTCAGTTGACCTTGAGATTTCATTTCCCTCCCCAGGAAAATCCATGGCTGTGATTGGCTGCTGTGTATTTTAGTGTGCTATTTTCGTCACTGTCTCAAGGACGTGTCTATGATGTATAAATAAACGAGAGTTGTGTGCTTGATTGTATTATGTGATTGCTGGGTGTTTGTAGAATATACTTACTAAGATTACAAAGCTTTCTGTCTTCAGCTTGGGATTCAAGGTAGCATATCTGGACGCTAGTTCATCGTCTCGTTCGCGTTTATCGACTAAGGTGAACTGGTAGTAGCTTCAAGTATACCTAGTGACGGACATATCCAATTGGAAATAACTGTAACAGAAGGCCGAGAACGAAGTAGGTTGACGATTGCTGGTGAGTGTCCTATACTCACTGAGGAGTTAACAAGCGTAACCTAGAGTACGCATTGTATTAAAAATAAGTTTTACATATATTTTACAACCTTTATCATACAAACAAAAACGATACATATTAGTCAGTAGATAATGAATTATTTTTGTTATCCTTTCTCATTCATTTTACAGTATTTCCAGTGGACTACACCAATAACTATGAACGTAGACAATATTTAGCAAGTTACCTATTACCAGAAGATCCAAACAACGGTAATTTAATGTTTATCATTGTTAGTGAACCATCCACGTCGACTACACAATCAGCTGAATGTGAAGAGATTGGTTGTGCGATGATTAATCTGAGAGAAATTATACAAAATCATTGTGATATTGATCATGTATTTATTCCAAGTAAGAAAAAGTCGGAATTTTTATTACTTCCCTCTCTTTTTTTCGCTTTCAATGTCACGCAAAAAAATGTTTTATTATTGGTAAACAAAATTGAGTCTGGAGCGCTCTTATGGGGTTACTGCCGGTCTCAAGCTTGCATAAAGCAGAAAAGGTTGGGTATGGGGGTTAGCGAGTCCACCCGATAGAAATTCAACTCGTTGAAAAGAAAATCCTAACCAGAAAAATAATTCGCTGGTCGGCGGCCAGACAAACAGACAGATACAACGCAGAACTTCGTACGTAAGTACATCAATTCAAGTTGCCATGCCCCATCAGCATAGAGACGCAACTATCAGTTCAAATCCAACAGTGATAGAAATAATAGAAGTATTAGCAGTAATGGAGAAGATTAGGGAGCGAAGATATGATATGATTCGAGAAGTATAATTCAGTAAGATAAATTTAGAAGGAGAAAGGTAGAGATTATGAGGAATTCAGAAGATTAGAATTTCATAGAACACAGACAGTGGATGCATCTGCGCCATTACAAACGATTTTGAGCCATGTCATTCAAAGTCTTTAACCATCGATTATTATCATCTCGCGGACCCCAACCAGGTAGTCGATAACTACCGACATGACTCAGTCCACTCGTCAATGACTTCATGGATTTCTGCCATGTTTTGATTTGGCCGCCCCTAACTTTCTTCAAACCTATTCCTACACTACAAAACAAAGCTCTTCGAGGCAGTCGGTAGTTCGGCATACGCAACACATGTCCTAACCACCTCAACCGATGAAGTTTCACCACTTCATCTATTGGTTTACCATCCTTACTTAGAAATCGTTTCCTAATGACAGCATTGCCTATACGGATGTCCCATGATACACGAGCAATGCGTCTTAAACATCTATGATCGAATACTAGTAACCTACGAATGTCTTCTACGCTTAACGGCCATGTTTCGCATGCATATATGAGAACTGGGCGAACTGCTGCACAGAACACTCGTCCTTTGGTTGGCGAACGCATATCACGCCTACGCCATAAATGACGCAGGTTAGCAAAAGCCAATCGAGCCTTCTGTATCCGAGCTGAGATTTCGTCAGTCGCCAGGCCATCAGCACTGATGAGACTCCCCAGATAAGTGAAGCGGTCTACACGTTCGACTACTTCACTCCCTGTCACTAGTTCAGGTGCCGATGCAACCCAGTTTTGAAGCAACATTTTGCATTTCGACAGGGAAAACCACATCCCGGCGGCCTATGCTCCATTAGGGCTAACAGGTGTAGGTAAGTAATAAGGCATCTAGATATGTGTGTAACATAAAAGTTATTGAATTCGTGTATGGGATAAGATACTTTTGGTGGAGTTTCACTCTCTAAGCTCAACATTTCGGTTGAGGAGCTTTGATTGTTCTTCAGAACAGCGTTAGCGGCACACACTCCAGATAGAAGTGAAGTATTCAAATTTCTCAACGTATGATGCGTGACTTGTCCCGTTTACTCAGTTCTTGATCCGTTTTTGTTGACCATTATCTGAAACATCGGGCTTAGGAAACGAAACTTTAAGATAATCAGCGACCTGATCTACAAATTTTCTCCACCATTTCAAAATCAGATGGGATTGGATACTGCCAGCTGCCCAAACTGAAGGAAATAATTTCCCGAGCATTTAACCCACAGTTCTAATCCCAAAGACGGTAGAGCAACGTTAGGAATTGTGTTCCTATGATTGCAGATGACTGATAATAATTCCACAATCCTTTTATCCCCTTAGGATCGTGAAGCTCATGGGTAACAGTGATTTGGGATCAGGGTTTTTCGACTCCTCTAACTGGATACCATTGAACCCACTAAGCCGATTTAAGCATCGGAAATCCGCTTCCCATCCCATCAATTTTGTAAAGAACACTTCCACCACGAGAAGATAGTCAACACGACTCCCCTGACAGCTATTTACTCATGGCCATATGAGAGCATTTAGAGAAGAATAGCAAACTCTTTCCAAGAACACTTAACATCTAGACCATTGAGCCAACAGAGTCAATGTCTAACTTTGATCAATCTACGGTCTTGCGCAAATTCATCTACTGGCTTCAGTAAGCACCGGTTCACAACCGAACAGGGTAGAACTCCACTGATTACAACTTCTCACTAGAACACGGACAAACTCCCTCACAGAGCACATGATAATTTGCATCGTAGGGTCGTGAAGATTTTTGAGTTACTTTGAAACTGTGAATCGATTAATGTTAAACTACCGTTGGAAAACTGAAGGCACCGAAAGTCCTTGGTCCAATTCCTACGAGAAGCACTGCTAATGAGTCCCATACTAGGATAAAACGGCCGCCCAGTGCTTCCAGGTTTCTAATACGAGTCTAACACTGATCAATTTCTAATCTTAAAATAAACTCAACAATCTCCACAACCTTCAAAATGCAAATTAACTGAGTGTTTCATCTTTGACACAAATATCACCACCAATCTATCTGAACTTGATTGCTTTAAACCTTTATAAACTTTCTTTCTCCTCATTATATATACATGTATTCTCCAGTTACAGCTATGAAAACTATCAATAATGATGAAACACAGAGTTTACATGATGAAATCGGTAGACTTTGTGCATCATTTCATGGATTAGCTGCGCTACAAGCAATTATTGCTGAAATGCCTCAAGTGAAATTGGCCATTTAAATAAATAATAAACCAATCAATCGCAGCATTGATTCAACCAATACGATTTGAGTTAATAATAAATCAATGCGATTGATTCAACCAATACGATTTGAGCGTGCTTTTTTTTTTAAAATCATTCTATATAGTACGATTATTATTATTATCAGTGATTATTATTTTCTGATTGTTTTCTGACGTATTGTTCAATGGAAGAAAAGAAAATATATATATATATATTTGTATGGTGAAAAATGTTTGTCTTTTCTCTCTGAATCTCATAAATCGTCAGTCAGTCAGTTGCAACGTAGAACTACGTACGTATGTACATAAGTTCATTTTGCCATACCACATTAGCACACAAAGATGCAAATGTCAAATCAAATCCCATAGTGATAAAGATAGTAGAGGTATTAATGGTAATGATGAAGACTAGGGTTAGAAAGACAAAGGTAGGGGTGTTGACGAATCCAGAAGATAAAGATTTGAGAGAGCACAGTGAATGGATGCACTTGCGCCATCGCAAATGATTCCGAGCCAAGTCGTTCAAGGTCTCTAACCATTGATGACGTTCGTCTCGCGGACCCCAACCAGTTAGTCTACATCTATCAACATGACTCAGTCCACTTGTCATTGATTTCATGCATTTATGCCATGTTTTGTTTTGTCCGCCCCTAGCTTTCTTCCAACCTACTCCTACATTACAAAACATAGCTCGTCGAGGCAGTCGGTGGTTAGGCATTCGTAAAACATGTCCCAACCACCTCAACCGATGGAGTTTCACCACTTCATCTATTGATCTCGTTTCCTAACGACAGTATTGCTTAATCGTTTGTCCCACGATATACGAGTAATGCTTCTTAAACATCTGTGATCGAATACTAGTAACCTACGAACATCTTCTACTCTTAACGGCCATGTTTCACAGCCATATAGGAGAACGGAGCTAACTACTTCGCAGTACACTCGTCCTTTAATCAGCAAACGGATATCACGCCTACGTCATAAGTGACGCAGGTTGGCGAAATCCAGTCGAGCTTCCTGTATCCGCGTTGAGATTTCGTCAGTCAGCGCTGGTTTTTCATAAACCATCATCTGTATAGCAAATGTTTCAGTCGCTAAACCATGCACATGACACATTAGCATGCGTACGCACTAATCAATAAACCTCAAGATTAATAAATCAGTGAGTGACATTGTGGAAATAATACTGTCTTCATCTATTAGCTCTTAGCATTTCTTTTAAATTTACTTCAGTATCATTCGGCATACATATTATATATGAACTGCCACAAATCCCTGAAAAGAAATCTTGATTAATTGTGGTCTTGATGAACACCTGGGAGAGTAACCATAGAGTTTAAGAGACGAGTATAAATTCAATTACAAATAATCAGTCAGTTAGTTAAACATAACAGAGAGCCTGACACACACATGCGTATCGGCTCAACTTAACACACCACATTGAGCACAGTAAGATAAAATGAGTGGTAGTGTCAGTAGGAGTAGTAGTAGAAAACAAAAGATACCAGCAGATTTTAAAGCTCGTGTTCTAAGAGAAGATAAAAAGTGAACGCACCTGCGCTGTTGGAAGTGATCTTGAATAATATCATCCATTGGTTATGATTATCACGCGGACATCAAGTAAGTAGTCTGTACCTATTCGCATGTTTCAGTCCAACTGTTAATGACTTCATGGACGAGTGCCACGTTTTGGTTTGGTCACACCGAGCTTTCGTCCAGCCTAGTCTATTAGACAGGAACGATCATCTAGGTAGTTGGACGTATGTAACACATTGCCTAACTACCTCAGTCGAAGATTCACTACCTTATCAACGGATTCGTCATTTTTATCTAGTATCTTATGCAAAACCTGGCTATTGTTCACTCAACGGTCCCAAAACACACGACCAATAAGTCGAAGACACTTGTGATCGAATACTAGTAACCTACCAATATTCTCTATTCTTAATGGCCATATTTCACACCCTTGAAGTAGAATGGAGTGAACTAGTGCAATGGAAACCCGTCTTTAGACAAACAGACAGATACAACGCAAAACTTCGTACGTAAGTACATCAGTTCACGTTGTCATGCCCCATCAGCACAGAGACGCAACTGTCAGTTCAAATCCAAGAGTGATAGTGATAATAGAAGTATATTAGCAGTAATGCAGAAGATTAGGGAGCGAAGATATGATTCGAGAAGTATAATTCAGTGAGATAAATTTAGAAAGAGAAAGATAGAGATGATGAGGAATTCCGAAGGTTAGAATTAGAGAGAACACAAAGATTGGATGCACCTGCGCCATTGCAAACGATTCTGAGCCATGTCATTCAAGGTCTCTAACCATTGGTGACTATCGTCTCGCGGACCCCAACCACGTAGCCTACATCTACCAACATGACTCAGTCCACTTGTCAGTGACTTCATGGATTTCTGCCATGTTTTGGTTTGGCCGCCCCTAGCTTTCTTCCAATCTACTCCTACACTGCAAAACATAGCTCGTCGAGGCAGTCGGTGGTTAGGCATTCGTAACACATGTCCCAACCACCTCAACTGATGAAGTTTCACTACTTCATCTATTGATTTACCATCCTTACTTAGAAATCGTTTCCTAACGACGGCATTGCTTATACGGTTATCCTAAACCCGTCCTTAGATAAAAGATGGATATCTCACTTACACCACAAGTGACTAAATAATCTATTCCGAAGCTCATTAATATTGATCAGACAATCACTATACAGAAAAATGTTTTTCAGAGATCTACTCGACTGTGAATCTTTTTATTAGTGACAAATATCACCTGTCAAAATGTTTTCTTAAAATTTTATGATATATTTATTTGTATTGAAACAAGGGTTAATTGATGACCTGGTATGGGTGTACTCCTCTATTTCTTTCAAACTCTTATCATACGGTCATGAGTATGTGGCCTCTGCCATGAACGTACTACTCACGAACGTAGGTAGACGAAAAGCCGACACTCGACGCTAAGGATTAGTTAGTAGATACAAGGAATCCAGTTAACAACATAGAACTTCATACATTAGTTCAAGTTGCCATACCACATTAGCACAGAGATGCAATTGTCAATTCAAGACCCATAGTAGTAGACGTAGTAAAAGTATTAGCAGTAAACGGAAATTTAAGGGTTCGACGATATTAGTCAAGAAGTAGAATCTGGTGAAATGAACTTAAAAGAAAAAGATAAAGGTGACGAGGAATTCGGAAGGTTAAGATTTGAGAGAACAGAAAGAATGAATACATCTACGCCATTGCAAACGGTTTTGAGCTGTCTCTAACCCCTTGGCAGCGTTGGAAAACTTTGAATTCTAACCAGTAGAGTAGATAGGCTCTACGAGTCTTAGTCAACTAGCTACAATGTAGAACTTCATGCGTACGTGCACATACATCAATTCAGGTTGACATACCACATGAGCACACTGAAATGCAATTGTCAATTCAAACCCCATAGTAGTATAAGTAACATAAATTTTAACGGTTCGAAGATATCACTCATTCTAGAGCACATGTTTAGATTCAAATCATGCTGTAATACGAGCGCGTATTCTCTGCATCTTCCTGGACGTAGGAAAGACACAGTAGTAAAGAAACCTCCCCCCTTAAACTTCTACTTAACGATAACAAAGCAATTAGGAAAAGAGTCAGTCTCTACAATTCCCATAGAATAGATTGCGCATAAAACTTATTCTGGGATTGCATCTGCTGACGCGTCCACACTTCACTATCGTGTAAAACGCTCAGAAAGTGACTGATCAACACATCATCCGACTTACACCAGCTCCACGCACACACACACACACGAAAACGGTGAAAAATCCACCAATAAATACAAAAATATTTAATTTTTTCTAAAAAAAAAGCACTATGTACAAGAAAAAAGTTAATAATAATAGAAATCTGAATATCTATCATTCCTCCTCCAACTCCGATTGCCATTCGAGGAAGAATATGATGATGCTGATGATGAATTTGAATTCCTAGATGAACTACGACCGCTGCTACCACTGCTACCACTGCTACTGCTACACTCTTTTTCATCAGGATAATCATTACGCCAATTTGATTCACTATTCGAATCATCTTCATCATCATCATCAACGCCGTCAACAGTTGTGGTGTGATAATAGTCATTTGATTCCCAATCATCATCAATAATGTAATTATCAGCATTCTTGATCAACAATAGATCATGAGTTAATTGATCATTGGAACACCAAATTGTTGTGCTTGTGGCTGTGGTTGTTTGTTCCGACGATGACCGTGACGGTGATGATAAAGATGACGTTGTTGTTGAGATCATTTTATAAATGTCATATATACAATCTGATTGAACTGACGAACTATTTGGAGTGTTTGTTTCCGATGATGAATTCAATTCATTCACTGGTTCAGGTGTTAATTCAATAATTTTGAAAATTTTCGGTGGATTCGGTCCGACAACAGATGTTTTCTTTGAATCAGTAATATTTAATTGAGTGAAATCATCAAAAATTCCAGCAATACAAGCAGGACGTTTTAAATTGTTCACTTTGACCTATACATTGATTTATACAAAATTAAAAGGATAGGATTATATTTAGCTATGAAACTGAATACTTCATGAGGTGACAGTTAGTTATATCTATATGGGGTATACGACTATTTGAATGTTAGGATATTTTTGGGACCAACTTTTTGAGCACCTGCCTTTCGAGGAAGGAATGCAGCTTCGTTGTAGATGATCCTTCCTGACTGCCTGAAGGGAACACCTTCAACTCAACAGTACAACTTAACCCTCGAACTATAAGCTTGCAAACTTTATCCTTACCACTATTCAACCAACGTAAATAATTAGCATGATATGACCAAAAGGAACAAATGTTCTAGCCAATACAGCTTGCCTAAATCATTACGACCCCAGAGACTAAGCATAAGAAAGAATTTATATGCATAAGTAACGATGAGTTAATATAGTCAAGGTATTCATCTCTCAACCACTATAAACAGTAGTCACTCAGTTACAACGCAAAACTTCGTACGTACGTACATAAGTACAGGTTGCCATACAACATAAACACATTGATGCAATCATCGGTTCAAATCCCATAATGGTAGAGATAGTAGAAGTATTATTGGTAATGGAGACTGGGATTCGAAGATATTATTCAAGAAGTATAAATCAGTGAAATAAATTTAGAAAGAGAAAGATAGAAGTGATGAGGAATTCTGAAGATTATAATTTAAGCGAAGACAAAGTGGATGCACCTGAGCCATTGCAAACGATTTTGAGCCATGTCGTTCAAAGTCTATATAAGTAGTAGTTTTGAACCCTACTTCATTTAATTAATTATTTACTACCACACAAAACTAGTTACACATAAGTCAGTTGCAACGTAGAACTTCGTACGTATGTACATAAGTTCAGGTTGCCATACCATATTGCCACACAGAGACACAAATGTCGAATCAAATCACATAGTCATACAGATAGTAAAGGTATTATTGGCTATGAAGAAGATTAGGGTTTGAAGGTATTATTCAAGAAATATAATTCAGTGAAATAAGGTTAGAAAGACAAAGGTAGAGGTGTTGACGATTCCAGAAGATTAGGATTTGAGAGAGCACAACGAATGTATGCACTTGCGCCATTGCAAATGATTTTGAGTCATGTCGTTCAAAGTCTCTAACCATTTGTGATTATCGTCTCGCGGACCCCAACCACGTAGTCTACATCTACCAACATGACTCAGTCCACTAGTCAGTGACTTCATAGATTTCTGCCATGTTTTTGGTCTGGCCGCCCCTAGCTTTCTTCCAACCTACTCCTAAACTACAAAACATAGCTCGTCGAGGCAATCAGTCAGTAGGAAGTATTTGATTTTGACCAATTTGGTCTCTCGTGCCGTTACGGGTATGAGGGCAGTTGTCACTTCCCCGCTGCCCACACCGTGGAAGGTTGTTTCTTGAGGGACCTGAAAAGGAATATAGATTAGTGTTGGTCTTAACGAGCTGGGAGCGTGACCGCAGAGCCCAGGGGATAACTGCTTCAGGCCGATCACGCACGGCCTTTTTATGAAAGGTTTTTTTGGGATTAGCTCCGCTCTTAAAAGCCCTTATTTGGCAGCCCTTACCGCCGGAGACGGAAATCCGTGAGGTAGGGTGAGGTGTGACATTTTTAGGGTCGACCTTTTCTAACCCTTCCTTCCTTCCTTGTGAGAAGGCAGCATCGCTGCAGATGCTGGTTGTCCGAGGGAAACACCTTACTGCTGTCACACCCCTCTGCAGTCAGCAGTACGACTTCGCCCTCAGACCTTGGGTAGCTGCTTTTAGTCTCATCGCTCTCCAATCGACCTGCGTGGCACGGTAGAACCTTCAGGAACATATGTTCCAGCCAGTATAGCTCGGTTGGGTCATCACGATAGTCAAGCCCGACCACCACGTCAAGGTAGCAGCTACGGTCGAGGCAGTCGGTGGTTAGGCATACGCAGCACATGTCCCAACCACCTCAACTGATGAAGTTTCACCAAGTTACACATAAACCCGGCATTCAGAGATGTGGGTAATATTATTTCCCATTCACATACACATGCACATCCATACACACAAAACCAGATGGTTAACTTACCTGACATTTGATTGTTTGATTTTCATCGACAACAGTAGCATCTGTAGTATTACATATTATTTTACATGATTTATCAGATGATGAACAGATTTTATCAATTTTACTAATTAATGAACAATTTGAAGTTGTTTGACTACCGATATATTTGAATTGAATTGATTGACGGTGAGCTTTAGAACGTTTTATAAGATTTTCAGCTTCATAAATTTCATTAGGACAATCAGTATTTGAACGTTTAATTCGTAAATAAATAGACATTATGTTGAATAAAATCTGAAAAATAGTTTTTAAAAATGAATGTAATTAAAACTGAGTTAATTATGACAGGACTTTGCTAGTTAAATATTTCAACAAGTTAACATATCCACTGATCTTCAGTAATGATTACTCTTACTTAGTTTCAAACTAAATGATAATCTATAATGCTTTTAAACGTGATATTCCATACTGAAGCAGCTATGATCATATTGGCTGATAGAGAATTCCGGATAAAAAAAGAATGGAAGTAAACAAAGTGCGAACGAACCTAGGTATTCGCTTTTGAAATGATGAAGAAAGTTTGTAGCTCAGGTGGATGATGATTGTGTTTCATCCTCTGAGCTGGATGTTTCACTTTTGGTTAATTTTGTGGAGCAAACAAGTGAGCTTGAAGTGGAGATCAGTTTGACATGAGCTACTCAGTCTGTTGTGTGATCGTAATTAGCTAGCTTTTTATTCTTCTGAAGCCCAGCGAAAACAGTGTCAGATGATGGAATCTACCCTTAGTGATTTACCTGAATCTTATTTTGTTAAACGTTCCCGCACATGTTTGAGAATATTTTCATCACTTTTGAAGGGGGTGAAGAAGTTAGAAACTTCAAGATGTGTGCAAATGCAGATCTCAGGTGATGTCAAGAACTAGTTCGTCAGCATATTTGTCTTCGAATGAAACGAAGCATAATACACACTCTCATTGCATCTCACTGATAGTTTTCAGTGGTGTGGATGTGTTCTGTTGGTAGAATGGACGGATCGCGATCCGTCATATTCTGAATAGGCGGAAGTCGAAGAGTCAGCATGATACCGTACAGCAGCTCAAAATACTGAGTAGTTAATGTCACTCCAACCTTTACCTGAAACCCAGTGTCTTTGTTGATAAGGTAACTGCGATTATCGAGGTTTGCTGGCTCAAAACAACAAGTAGCAAGAGAGGAAACCGACCGGCCTATGCTAACTGGTGACAGAGACATTGCAAACGTATTCACTTTTATCAAAAACATGTATCATACTCAGAAAAGCTGTCAGATTACCAAGGTGTAGAGCAGCTAAGTGGCCAAACTATATTATAAACCTATAAACATAATATTAACACCTAGATAAAGGATAAAATAAGCTAGGTGATCACGCTAGCTCATCGAAAAGATGTTGAACTATGACCCGGAGAAGTAAGTGTTGGTCAATTTTAAGGCAACACTTCTTAAACACGGCCTGAACTAAACTTTCTAACCGTTTTCAAACAAATTACATAGAACCAATCAGAAGGAAACATCAAATATTACTAGAATATAAACCAGTAAATCATCCGAAACTTACGACTGAAGTTGTGGAAATCGGTGCCACGTTTTGGTAATGAAAATACCGCTATAATGGGCTGAAGCCTGCTTGCATCGTCAATAAACACTCGTGAGTGTCATTTCATGTACGGGACTGCATAGGTTCGAATCTGGCTCGAAGGTAACTTGTGTACGAATGAAACATGCGAAGTTGCGAAATTAGGGAGAATTGAAAAAAAAACAAAAGCAGAGGTGAGCAACCGATCCAATAATCTGACTTTTAGTTAAAATGTCAGTATGAAACTATCAGTGATCATGAAAGATTCAGATTCATATAACTTGGAAAGCTGGATTTGGAGTGGCTAACGTGACGATTTTAAACCACCACAAGGTCAAAATTTACATTTTCCCGCCAGTTATTCCTTACAACCTGTCCTTCAATTTTATCAATTTAAAACTTCAGACCTTTAGTTCCTGATACTTTTGGAATTTAGGAAAAGTCGTGAACGACATTTTATTAAAGATATTGAATTTTCCTTCTGAAACGTTAGAATAAGTGCACTGCGCTCCACTGGCAACTCAATTTTATAATGCACTGTGAGGGATCCCTGAATGATCAGTTTTGTTAGCAATCAGTGAGACACACAAGTGAAAGTTCCTCATATTGTCTTATATGAAGGAACTTTCATCCGAAATTTAACATTTCCAAACAATAACCTTGGATCTCCTAACACGTTCAGAGACAAAACATACATTTTTGAAACCATGAATCGATCAACGTTAGACCACCATTAGAAACCTGAAAGCACTGGACGGCCGTTTCGTCCTGGTATGGGACTCCTCAGCAGTGCGCATCCACGACTCCTGCACCCCGCAGGATTCGAACCCAGGATCTTCGGTATTGTGCGCGAACACCCTAACCGATAGACCACTGAGCCGGTATCTAACGGTGTTAATGTCTAACTTGATCATATTCATATACACTCAATGTGCTCAAGAGTATTGTTTGTTTTCATAGTCATAAGGGAAGGATTGTGGTCTAGAAGTTATATACTGAAATTACCTGAAAGTAAGACAGCGTTTTCGAGTCGTACGATAATCTCAATCAAAAGTGGCGAACAAAAATACTTGTTAAGTCAATTTTTAAATCGATAGAAGTGTTGTCATAGTTGAACTTCCAAATGCCCTTGAATAAGACCTATAGGTAACCTGTGTATGCCTCGTGCTGTTAGATTGGTCTCAATGTCCAAAGTCATCTTTCAGACGAAGATTTTTTTGCTAGCCTTTTATTATCGTTTTGCACATTTTAGAAGCATTCCATCTCATTTAAGTAGGTTTCTATTTACGTTAAGTTGGAGCAGCAGGTAGTGATCTACACAAACAAATATTTTACCATCAAGCATACTTAAACATCAAATAGAGTGCCAGCATAATTTGTAAGTAACTACATACTTTAAGCATAAATTTCTATTCTTGATTAGGTATGTTTGAATATCCATTGCGTCTCAATTGATGACGTTACAAAGCCTATAAGAGGTGACCTCCATTCCGATATCGGTTCAGTCAGCTTACAACGCGAACATATGCTAGATTTCGTATCCATTTTTGACATACATGCAGCATGTAATTTAATTCACTCGACAACTTAAATTTTGATAAGTGCCATCCTGTGATACAACCAACTTAATTCTTTAGGTTTGATGTCACTTGATATGAATTTGTTTTTGGAGAAGTTATCGAACTGTTAGTTACAGATCGGTTTTCACGTACGTCTTGAGTTTCAATTATAGCTGATTTGAAAATTTGGAAAATGAGGGACGTATATCGATGTGTCTTAGCTTCCACATCTGACGTAAAATTCTGATATAGAACTCGAACACAACCGATTGTAACTTTAGTTCAGGATGATACACTTTTTTTCCGCAGATAAATAACACTCCCGTTGATTTATTAAAATCGAACTATCAAAATATTGGTCTTATATGTAGATTTCCTATTTTTTTACCAAACCTGATAAATTATCCACTCTTCGTAATGTAACTTGTGTTTAAATGCTTCACTACCAACTTAATCGGCGCTTGATTATCTCAGACATATATCGCACAGTAAATAATTTTGGAAAATGCCATAATTCAGAAGGTCATCGTTTTAGGTGAACTGTTTGGCAAATTTCTTTCTAGGCTTTTCAGAAAACTCCTTTAAACTGGTGTTACTCAATTTTCGGGAAACATTTCTATGCTAATCATCGTATTTTTTTAGGTGAACTTAGAACTTTTCACAATGCTGTCTAGACAATTCATGTATAGGCTAAAGTGTTCAGTAGTGCGTGTGTATGGAGTTAGTGATCGATAACGATTTCAATTATGTAAGAAATTCATTTGTCAGTTGATTAAATAGTAGAGAGTGCAGAAATCTGATCAGTGCTTGCAGATAACATTATTCTAATGGTCAAGCGAAAAAGTTTGTAACAACTTCGAAAGCCAATGTTAATACCGTAAGTGCCACAACATTTAATATACCCGAATACGGAATAAACACATTTGCGCGGCAAAATTAAAATGTTAAGCACTTAGTAACAAAAGAATCCATATAAAATTATTGAAAGAAAAGATGTTATATTTAAATATGAGCTTCCTTTAGTTTTCACAAGCTACATAGTGTAATCTCAACTGTCTCTGATGAACAATGGGAATTCCTCCGGAGTACACATGCCGGTTTGTGTTTCGCATACCGAATATTGATGACCCCAGAATATGTTGTAGGCATATCGATGATCTTCCTTTGCAGCTTTCGAATCAGTTCGTTCTAGTTTCTGTCATTCATTCTGATACTAACAAACCTGTCCGAGATATTGTGGACATTTTGGGAAATACTATGGCACAGGTGAATTATATTAATGGACATTCGTTCTCTGAACCGGATGGTCTAATAGTGATGTTTTCACTACAGCTTTGAACAAAGTAGTATATATATGAAGTCCGTACTGATGACCTTGATTAGAAAGACGGTGAACGTTTCACATTTTAAGTGATCAGTCGATTACCGCGTTACGTAACTGAACCTTCATGCATAAATGAATGTGCAATCCAACATTTCTACATGCATTCGGCTCTACCACAACAATAACTACTATTTATACTACTGTATATTCAGTAACTGATTAAGCGAACCTATTGGTCCATTAACTTCCACCTTTCATATTGAGATCGCAGCTATTACCAATGAGTGACGTTTGATGATTATTATTTCCCCAAATTTCAATTCAGATATTTGTTTGTTTATGCTAACGTGTCATTATTATGACATGGCGGAAAGCGAATAAGACGGATGATCAAATATTTATTTCATAAGCTTATGAATGACTTGCAAGACTAATATATCTCACTTATTGGCAATTTCAATGAATTTTAATCATACCTATTTTGTGTGAAAAGGTTTCAACAACTCTGTATTAGGTACAGTTGATGCAGTTGGCAAAAAGTCTTAGACTGAGGAAATCATATCTGAATAACCCAAAGGATTTGGAATACACCAAACAGAATTACAAAAAGGGGACTAGTACTACAAATGATCTTGATGATTTGTAACAAGAACCACTGTAATTGATAATGTTCAGTAATTAAAGTCTACAAAATCGACATGAAACGGTTCATACATTTTTAAATTACGTATTTCATTAGTCCGTGAGACAATTTACAGAAGTCATTGAAGATGAATAGCCCCCTAGCTAACGAAAGATGGCAGCCGTGTAGGCGGAATCATAAGCCATCCAACATTCAAGCACTGCAACAGTATCACCGGGAAATAAGAAATGATAAATTATGGTGAATAAAACGAATCGTATTTGATAGGCAACTGTTCTGTACTTTGATGATTGCCTTCTGTGGGCTTCTTATCAATTTATTCGGCTTTGAAAGCCCCCATTGCTTGACCTTAAGCATTTCGGGAAACTGATTTTCCAATCAACGTAACCTATATACATAATTTCCTCTGATAAGTTCGGTGAGCTTTCACACCTCATAAGTCATTATTTTGTTCCAAGTATTCAATCTAGCTGCTGATCAGTTAATGCCAATTATTTTGTACTACCCTGAAATCTTGTTTAAACATGTTTCTCTAGCTATGATACACGGATGAACAATAATCGAGATTATACTTGTATCTGAACTGTGAGTATCAATCTCCCATGGATTTAAACAGAACAGTGCAGCAGCCTAAGTTAACTGCCATTACACGGAAGCTACATAATGAATTTCAGTCAGTTTATTGATCCTTATTAAGGTCAAGGATAACCGACGCACATCAATCAGTTATATGCCATGAACTGACGCATGAGGCAATGGTCTGGTCTTTTACTTCTGTTAACTGTTAATATCAGTATTGAGAGTATTCGTTTTGGCTAGTCGTCTGGTTATCAAGATATTATAATATATGTTAAGCACCAGCTACAAGGTGTAACCTCGATGTAAGTTAGGAGGTTAAACCCTTTGTTCCAAAATCACCTAAGTTGTTGATTTTCAGCCTGATTATTTCCTAGCCTAATTTAGTCTAAATATATGGCTAAATAATAGTGCAATACAATCTAAAAATCGAAGATTTTCATCAAACAGAGTTATATACACATTTGAATATCAAAAATTGATAACACGAGCTTAGTTTGAACAAGATGTCATGCATGTTTATCCAATGTAACTAATTCATTTACTCACATTGACTATTGTTGATATTTGTAGAATCTATTTTGAAGGCCTTGTTTTTGGAAAATCCCTACATGAATATATATTTGTGTTATGATCTGACTGACTCTTTCTGTTCGATATTTTGGTACTTTATTTGATCCCATTTCGGGATTTTATCATTTGTGTCTTGTTATTATTTCGATATCTTGTACTTATATTGACGTTTCTATATTTCCTTCTGAACTATATGTGTGTTTGTTTGAAATTGATACTTAATATGGCTAGAGCCATTTTTGAATTTCATACTCTAGCAGCAGCTCGTTGCTAATAACTGGAAGCACTTATTCTTCCATTATCGGAACCTATTGTTGTGATTAGAAACTCGAAGGTGTAATATTGTTTTGGTGATTGTCTGTATTTCCCTTTTTGATTAAAAATAGACTGGTTCTTTCCCAGATTTATCATTTTTGAACTTGGACTGGGCGAGATGTGTGTGAACCTACACGTTTTGGATTTAGAGCTCACTGCGAGAGTTATAAATTTTTCTACAATATTACTGAGTGATCATACACCATTCAAAGATTATAGTGATCAGCCTTACAAGATAGAAGTCTACCTAGCATAATAAATAAACCACACGGTATTCAGAAGTATTTAACTGAACCACCACTATCAAAAACAAGAATCCTTCAATCATGAATTGTATTTAATTTGATCAAGTATAAAAGTTAAACGGCCATATTGTTGTGAT